GGTTTATGCTCCGTACCGCGGGGAGATGGTGGGCTGGGCTCAGGGTCCTGAGCGGGGCTGGTGTCGTCGTCAGCGATGCCCACGGTTAGCTGGGACTTGCAGGACACCAGCACCCACTCGACGAAGGTGGTGAAGCTCTCTTGAGGACCTTCCCCAGGCAACTGCGCTCGTGTGGTGGCGTTAAGTCCAACCTGGTAGAACGTGCAGAGGCAGTTGTCCGGGTAGTGCGTGAGGTGAGCCAGGGACAGAAAGTCATTGGTGTGGTCCTCAAGAGAGCGTTCCCCCTGCTCCAGCAGGAGGATTTGGAAGGCGGGGTAATCCATTATACAAAAAATAAAAACTGACAAAAAAAATGGAAAAACAAACGAGGAGAAAGACGCTGCTATACTTTACGTGAGAGTCGGTTATTCTGTCACGGACCAGGTGTGTGGAGGCAGGCAGGATGACGAGGACGACAAGGATTCAAAATAAGTATATTTAATGTAGCAACAACAAGGCAGAGACAGACACACACTCGGGGTAACATTCACAATAACCGACCAACTAGAACACAAGAGACGGGAACAGATATAGGGCAGTTAACGAGGGACAGACAGGTGAGCACAATGAGGTGATTAACTAATAATTAGACAGGCTAAACCAACACAAGGGGAAGAAACCACAACAAACAGTCCACAGGGGTGTTACAGTATGGTCCAGTGTTATTTTAGTATTATTTATATAGCTATTATTACAGTATTTATTAATATTCTAAATTAGCTTTCTATATATATATACATATTTTTTTAGTTTTCATTTTAATTTAGAATTTAAGTTTTAGTAATTTGATGTTTTTGTCATTTTTATTAGCCTTTTTCAGTTTTAGTTATAGTAACTTTAGTACTTCAGCTCAAACGTATTTTATCTCCAAAGGCAGCGTTATTTAACTTATGTTTTTTGCGAAAGGAACATTTCCATATTTACATTTCATTTTATTTCATCTTTATGTCAGTTAATGCATTTAAAAAGTAATAATTTTAGGTTTAGTAAACAGTAACAATACTTGTATGGTCAGAATTATATATCACGGCATAAGTAATTAAGACTTACAGAAGACGTTTGACCTCTGTCATTGCCAACAAAGGGTATATAACAAAGTATTGAGATGAAATTTTGTTATTGACCAAATACTTATTTTCCACCATAATTTGCAAATAAATTCTTTAAAAATCCTACAATGTGATTTTCTGGATTTTTTTTTCTAATTTTGTCTCTCATAGTTGAGTTATACCTATGATGAAAATTACAGGCCTCTCTCATCTTTTTAAGTGGGAGAACTTGCACAATTGGTGGCTGACTAAATACTTTTTTTCCCCACTGTATATATATATACACACTGTATATTGCTGTAAGTATAAAATTAAAAATAATTGCATTTTATGTAAAAAATTTAGTTTTTTACATTTTAAATGATTAAATTATTAGTTTTTAATTATAAAATGAAATGCGCAATTATACAATTTTAATTATAAATATGTTTTTTAAATTGTGTCATATATACCAGATGTAGAAAAATCTCAACATTTTTATTGCACAGTATACATCAAGTGATGCAAATCAATTAATTGTACAAACAAGCTCAACGTGCTGATCACTATTTGTGACCCTGGACCACAAAACCAGTCATAAGGGTCGATTTTCTGAAATTGAGATGTATACATCATCTGAAAGCTGAATAAATAAGCTATCCATTGATGTATGGTTTGTTAGGACAATATTTGGCCGAGATACAACTATTTGAAAATCTGGAAAATGAGGGTGCAAAAAATCTAAATATCGAAAAAAATCGCCTTTAAAGTTGTCCAAATGAAGTTCTTAGCAATGCATATTACTTATCAAAAATTAAGTTTTGACATATTTACAGTAGGAAATTTACAAAATATGTTCATGGAACATGATCTTTACTCAATATCCTAATGATTTTTGGCATAAAAGAAAAATCTATAATTTTGGCCCATACAATGTATTGTTAGCTATTGCTACAAATATACCCCAGAGACTTAAGACTGGATTTGTGCTCCAGGGTCACATTTGTCTACCACTATCCCTCATCTTGCAGGCCGAATGTGTAAGTGTAAAGTTGTGGAAGACTTTACTGTGAAAAGAATGACAATGAGTTTAATTATAGCAAAGTGCCTGGTTATACTGGATTGCGTAAGGTTAGTGAATAAGTAGTGGGTGTTTACACTGAAATAAATCAATGGTGCAGCTGTTTAGTTCAGGACTGAACAGTTCTAGATGAGAGAACGGCAGTGAATGGTGAATGCCTGGCCTTTCAGCTGTTGCACTTTATTTGATAAGGTCATCATTATACTAGTAATCAAATAAATGGCTGTTGCAGTAAGTGCTCAAAGCATCTCTTCTTCTCTAGAAGTGCTCTCTACAAAGAGCTTTCCCTCTCCACATCAGCAAAGTGGCTGTTTTTAATGAATGTCATGGGAATGGCACATATAACTCAAATACACTATGACCACTTCTGCTCTGTGTAGCAGAATTGCATGAAATGAAAACATCTCTTACTGTCCTTTTTGGCCCTGAACATAGGCCTTTGACATTATTTGTGCTCTTTTTGGTCTCTGCAGGCTGTGGTTAGACCGTCTCGCTCTCTAAGTTCAGCACACTTGGTCCCCTCCTGCAGTAGCGTACAGGCCTTCATCATCTCCAACATCGTCCTCATGAAGGGCCATGGAAAGGTAACACATACAGTATATGCAACACAAAAAAATGATGCATTGAATTTTTTATATATAAACGGCTGTTCCCGGTATTCCAGGGTCTGGGATTCAGTATAGTAGGAGGAAGAGACAGCATGTATGGCCCAATGGGGATTTACGTGAAGACCATCTTTCCTGGAGGCGCAGCGGCCGCTGATGGAAGACTACAGGAAGGTGGACTCATTAAGTTAAATATCACACTGTAATTGGTAATGCATGAGTATATCTATCCAGATCTGTCCAGACACTTACTTTAAAATGAAGCTTTCCCATCAACACTCAGAGCTGCATTACCAAGAAATGGATAGAAAACTATATTAGTGTTTCTGGTTTACAGGAGACGAGATACTGGAATTGAATGGGGAATCTCTGCACGGCCTGACCCATGAAGATGCCTTACACAAGTTTAAAGTGAGTAACCTCACCTGGATGGCTTCATATTTTAAAGTTGAATTGGCAAAAAAACATATGCATATTGGTAGACTGATGGGATGTTTTAAGGGCTGACAGCTGATATAATTTTCATATAAAAATTAAGGTATAAATATATTTAACCTTAAATGTATTTTTTAAATTATATATATATATATATTTATTTTATTTATTTATTTATTTTTTCATTTAACATTTATATTTTATTTCAGCTATATATTTAAATTTTTTTATATATTTTTGGTTTTTCAAAAGCAACATTGGTATGGACAAAATTATATATGATATCATGGTAATGGCATACACCACCCAATATGCTTATTTTTGCTGTAAATTTAATATAAATATTAAAATATAAAATAAAAAATCATTACATTTTAAGTTTAAGTTCTACAATTTAATTTGTATTATAAAATAAAAAAAATATTTTATCGCAAAATTTAAATATAACATTTTAATTAAAATATAATTGTGTGTATATATATATATATATATTCTATATAATATGTATTATTTATATATGAATATATAAATTAAGGTTTTAATGTGCAAAAAAATCTGAAAAAAATACAGTAACAATACAGTGTAATTTTTATAAAGCAACCATAGCGAACAGTTTTGAACATTAAATTTAACACGAATAGTAATATAATACTGATTAATCCACTTAGACAATATGTTGATCTATCATTAATCCATCCGGTTTTACCAGCAATAAACTGTGTTTGTCTTTCTGAAGCAAGTGAAGAAGGGTTTGTTAACGCTGGTGGTGAGGACCAGTCTGCGGGTGGGGGCCGTGCCGGGCAGCCATGGCCAGGTGTCTCAGTTATGCCGATCCAGATCTCTGAGCTCCAACACTGGTATCAGTCGAGTCAGTGCTGATCTGGGAGACTATAACTGCCTCAATAACCCCGCAAAAGCCCAGGACAGAGTCATGATGGAGATCACGCTACAGAAGGGTGAGCATCCAAATCTCAGTAATCAAAGTTTTAATCATCACATATACTGCAAGGCTATGAAAATGAATAAGATTTAAATTCAGTGCAATTGAAAATTCTCATGCCGAGCTACTGCATGACTTCAGAAGAGTTATATACAGTGTTGGGGGTAACTCATTACAAGTAATGCGAGTTACGTAATCAGATTACTTTTTTCAAGTAACTAGTAAAGTAACGTATTACTTTTTTAATTTACAAGAACATACTGTATATGAGTTACTTTTTCAAAAACAGTGAACTGCAAACTCAGAATATGACGCAAACCTGCAATAATTAAATATGTTAAATAACACAAATGTATCTAATCCCATTTTATTAACCAATGTCTTTGCTGCTGACCTTTGATGATCCAGTTCAACCATACTAATAGGCAAAAATGACTTTAGAGAAACTAACAACTGTCCTTTGTTTTTTTATTGCTGAAGAGTGTTTCTTCTCCTGTACGTTCTACTGTACAGACGTGAATTTACACTGAACAAAATTATAAACGCAACACTTTGGCTTTTGCCCCCATTTTTCATGAGCTGAACTCTAAAACTTTTTCTATGTACACAAAAGGCCTATTTCTCTCAAATATGGTTGTGAGGCCGGTTGGATGTACTGCCAAATTCTCTGAAATGCCTTTGGAGACGGCTTATGGTAGAGAAATGAACATTCAATTCACGGGTATCAGCTCTGGTGGACATTCCTGCAGTCAGCATGCCAATTGCTCAAAACAACATCTGTGGCATTATACTGTGTGAAAGGAAAACTGCACATGTTAGAGTGGTCTTTTATTGTGGCCAGCCTAAGGCACACCTGTGCAATAATCATGCTGTCTAATCAGCATCTTGATATGCCACACCTGTGAGGTGGATGGATTATCTCGGCAAAGGAGAAGTGCTCACTAACACAGATTTAGACAGATTTGTGAACAATATTTGCGAGAAATAGACCTTTTGTGTACATAGAAAAAGTCTTAGATCTTTGAGTTCAGCTCATGAAAAATGGGGGCAAAAACAAAAGTGTTGCGTTTATAATTTTGTTAAGTGTACTTTTGCTTCAGCCTGAGGTTTATTCATTACACTTTTTGGTGTGAAAGGGCTTTTATATTTGCTATAAATAGAACTTCTTATATTAAAAACAATCAAGCCCTGCTTATATTTAAAAATATAAATAACGCAAAAGTAATATAACGCATTACATTCCATAAAAAGTAACTAACGTAATTAGTTACTTTTTTTAGGGAGTAACGCAATATTGTAATGCATTACTTTTAAAAGTAACTTTCCCCAACACTGGTTATATATAATGCAAAAGTTGTATGGACTAGTTTTATGACATTGTAATGATGATTTATCGTGCTTTTTGAAGCTTTAAGACTTCCGTGCCTATAATTGCACAGTAAAAATGACTAGAATTGCTTCAGAGTTGCTTGTTTTGTGTTCCACAGTAGAAAGAAAATCATACATGTTTGAATTTACACATTTCTGATTGGTTTAAAAAACTGCATTGCAATTGTTGGTTAGACTGGGTTAATGCAGAAGGCTCCGAAACATACGTACAACACACCCTATGAAAACTGAACACTGTCTTGAGTGTTATAAACACTGTGATGTACTCCAGCCAGCTGTTGCTGAAGTGCCACACATCAATCAAACGCTTTCATTCTGAGTCTTGCACATAAACGTCTTCAGAGCCTTATTTGTGTAGCTGCACGACAGCACAAATTCAAACACAAATCCTTGAGCTACTAAAAATACTTACCTGACAGTAAGGACATGGTCTCATCTTCACTTGAATGTGGTCTTAAAGCGATAGTTCACCCAGTAATGAAAGTTCTGTCATCACGTTGTTTGATTTTCTCTCCTAGAAAGGAAAAAAGGGAGATGTAGTTTTGAAGTAAAAACAAAACATTTGTGAATTGCATTGTTAAACTTCGAAAGGAGAAAAAACATCATAAAAGCTGTATAAAAATAGTCCCTTGTATTGCTGTGCAATAGCTTTGTTTCAAGAATAGCTAATATACGGCTTTCAAATGCCATCTCTAAAATTCAAGATCTTAAGCATGTCTAACATGTTTTGGGGCATAAAACATAAATAAAGACCAGTCCCCATTGGTAATGGTCTTTATTGAAACTGGTTTAATATTAAATATTGGAGGGGACAGTTTGGCCATTTGTAATTACTTGGTGGTTACAGCCCTGCTAAAATCGTATGTTATTGTAATAAATTATGATGCCTACAAACATCTGAGAGGATTTAGTAAAAATGTGAGTATTTCTAAATGTGTCTTTTCTGCTTTTGCTCAGAGTTTGGTGTAGGTTTAGGTATTGGCTTGTGCTGTGTACCTTCTGCTGGCGACTGCCCGGGAATCTACATTCACACGCTGTCACCAGGATCAGTGGCCCACATGGATGGACGATTAAGGTATGACGCATCAATATAAAACACCAAGATATGAGATGCTAGTGTTGGCTTTGTATAGCCAGTCTTAAATGGTCATAGTCTACGGGGGAGGGGACAGTTTGGCCATTTGTAATTACTTGGTGGTTACAGCCCTGCTAAAATCGTATGTTATTGTAATAAATTATGATGCCTACAAACATCTGAGAGGATTTAGTAAAAATGTGAGTATTTCTAAATGTGTCTTTTCTGCTTTTGCTCAGAGTTTGGTGTAGGTTTAGGTATTGGCTTGTGCTGTGTACCTTCTGCTGGCGACTGCCCGGGAATCTACATTCACACGCTGTCACCAGGATCAGTGGCCCACATGGATGGACGATTAAGGTATGACGCATCAATATAAAACACCAAGATATGAGATGCTAGTGTTGGCTTTGTATAGCCAGTCTTAAATGGTCATAGTCTACAGGGGAAGTCGTGGCCTAATGGTTAGAGTCGGATTCATAACCCAAAGGGTGTGGGTTCGAGTCTCGAATCGGCAGGGATTGTAGGTGGGGGGAGTGAATGTACAGCGCTCTCTCCCACCTTCAATACCATGACTGAGGTGCCCTTGAGCAAGGCACCGAACCCCCAACTGCTCCCCGGGCGCCGCAGCATAAATGGCTGCCCACTGCTCCGGGTGTGTGTTCACGGTGTGTGTATGTTCACTGCTGTGTGTGTGCGCACTTTGGATGGGTAAATGCAGAGCACTAATTCCGAGTATGGGTCACCATACTTGGCCACATGTCACATCACTTTCACTTTTCACACTTTCACTATATGATTCATGGAGAGAAAAAAATCCACCTATCTATCTATCTATCTATCTATCTATCTATCTATCTATCTATCTATCTATCTATCTATCTATCTATCTATCTATCTATCTATCTATCTATCTATCTATCTATCTATCTATCTATC